ACAGCAGCAACAGCAGCTGCAAACGAGGCAGCAGATCCAGACGCAGCAGCACAGCAGCAACAGCAACAGCAGCTGCAAATGCAGCAGCAGCGAATGCTAATGCAGCGGCACACACAGCAGCAGCAGCAGCAGCAAACCTTGAGGGCCTCTGAAGAGAAGCCGAAGGGCACATTGCCAACATAAATTCTGTTGCTGCCGGGGCTCGTCTCCATTTGCTTCTCGGGCGTCAGCTGCCCCATAGCAACCAGGCTTGCTGCAGCACAAACAGCAAACTGCTGCTGCTGCTGCTGCTGCTGCTAGTGCTATCGCTCCTGCCGTTGCTGCTGCTGCTGCTGCTAGTGCTATCGCTCCTACCGTTGCTGCTGCTGCGCTTGCTGCTCTTGCTGCTGCTCGCGTTTCTGCTGGGGCTGCTGTTGTTACGTTCGCTACGGCTGCTGCTGCTGCTGCTGCTGCTTACCCATGTCGCCCTGAGGTGTCTGTCCAGCTCGACCAGCAAGAATGGCAGTTGCTGCTGCTGCTCCCGCTTGTGCGCTGCTGACGAGGGACATTGCTGGTGCTGCAGCAGCAAACACAGGCAAACAAACATGGCGTGCTGCACTTGCTGCTGCTGCTGCTGTTTGTGCTGCTGCTGCTGTTTGTGCTGCTGCTGCTGCACTCACTTGCTGCTGCGCCTGCGCCCATTCCCATATCGTAGCCGCCAACTGCAGCACAAAAAACAAAGAAATTGAATTCAAAATGAGCAGCAGCTTCTGCTTATGCTTGCCACTTCTGCAGCGGCTGCAGCAGCTGCAGCAGCAGCTCAGACAGCAGCAGCAGCAGCAACTGCAGCAGCAGGGCTCACGGGGGCGCGCTAGGAGCTGCTGCGGCTGACCTGCACCTACAGCTGTTGGCCTCCCCACTTTGATGGTTCTGCAGCAAAGCAAAACAAAATAAAACAAATAAAGAAAAATTAAATTAACCAAATTAAGTCAAATTACTTGAATTAAATTAAATTAAGTGATTGGACTGCCTTGAGTCAAAGTACACAGCGCTGAACAACGCCAACAGGCGCAAGCCACCGGGTGTATGTACGCTTGTATGCCTTTATGTGCTGCTGCTGCTGCTGCTGCTGCTGCTGTTGCTGCTGCTGTCTGCTTCTTGCCAGCCAGGGCGTTTCCTCAGGGACTGCTAAACCCTAAACCCTAAACCCTCGCTCGCAACGACACAAACACGCGCTGCAGCCATTAGGGGCCCCTCATACAGAGACGCAGCAGCAGCAGCAGCAGCAAGAGGCACAGAAGCCATGGCCGAGGGGCCCCTCAAAAATAAACAAACTCGACAAGAAGCAAAACACTCGCATGCACACAGCACAGCAGCAAAACCAGCAGCAGACACACGTTGCTGCTGTTTGGCCCGAGCACCTAAATCAGACAGCAGCAAATGCTGGCAGCAGCAGCAGCAGCAGCAACGGGCCATTAGATCCAGCGAGGCAGCCAGAAAGCCCTTATGCACTCAGTGACTCGCAGGGATCTAAAAAACATATAGGAGAGCCCCAAGGAACAGCAGCAGCAGCAGCAGCAGCAGCACGGTAGCAGCAGCAGCAGCACGGAAGAAGCCGATACTGTACTTATGCGCAGCAATACTGGACCATTAAAATGAAATAAAACAAAAAGACAAAAAGCAAAAAGGCAAAAGAAAAAACAAAAAAGCAAAAGGAAAAAAAGCAACAGCAAAACCTAACACAACCTTCCTGCTGCTGCAGTGTGCTGCCGCGCTGGCTGCGGCGCTGCTGCTTAACCCACATCTGCAGGCACGCAGCAGTAGCAGCAGCAGCAACAGCAGCAGCAGCAAGACACAAACAAAGGCAGCAAGGGCCCACAGCACAGACACATCGGACACACGCAAATGCAGCACAGCAGCAAAAGACAAAACAAGCCGCACACACCACCCTGTTGCTGCTGCTGCTGCTGCTGTTGCTGTTGCTGTTGCTGCTGCTAGAAACTGCGTTTCTCTGTAAATACGAGGCGTGTCGCTGTGGTTTTTCGTGCTGCTGCCGCTGCGTCTTCCGCCCTTGCTGCAGCAGCAGCAGCTGCTGCTGCAGCAGCAGCTGTGCGGCACCCACCTGCCCTTCAAAACGAAGTTGTGCATTGTGCTCAGTGCCATTTGTGCTGCTTCTGGAGACGCATATTCCACAAAACAAAATCCTTTCGAACGGTCCCCTTCCTTCGGCATGTCCACCGAAGTTACTGTGCCGAAGGCCTGCAGCAGCAGCAGCAGCAGCAGCGCAGCAGCAGCAGCAGCACAGGCGACAGCAGAGGCGACGCGGTTCAGCTTCGCTCCGCTTGGGGGGAGCAACAGCAGCAGCTTTTTGCTTCGCTAAGTGCAGCAGCAACTCAATTCAACTTCTGCTGCAGCAACTCAGCTTTTGCTGCAACAGCAACTCAGTGCAACTTCTGCTGCAGCAGCAACTAATGCAAATTTTACTGCAGCAGCAACTCCATTCAAATTCCACTTCTGCTGC